GAGAATTGGAAAGGCTGTAGGCAAGTCCAGCACGTCCAGTAGGGAACTGTCAACCTTTTACATTTCAGGCCCGCACATTTCCAATGTACATTTCTACAGCACTCGTTACAATTGAGTGGTTTCGTATTTGCTCTTATGGTCTTGCTGCAGACGAGACACTTTTTTATGTCTTTGGTTGAAACGGGGCCAGGATTAGGACAGACTCCGCAAAGAAGTAACGTGACGAGATTACATTACCAGAAATTGACGACAAAATGGCGGACGGAGATTCCGTTGGCCCTTTAAAAATGGCCACCCATATAATAGTAAAATGTATGGAATACAACAGAAAGAGCAAATTTATAACATTTGAGTAACTCGCTGACCACTTGCCGACCTCCTAATGAGGAAAGCATCTACTGCAGAATTTACGGGAGTAGTTATTTTCAACATCGAGGCAACAAACGACCTGCCAACTCTGCGTTTGTGGATACCATAAAACAGCCCCTCAACAGCTTTAAATTGTGCGCAAAACGGTCAAATGACCTACCTTTTATGCCCTCCAGCAAACTTTATTTACATCGGATGCAAAGTGCCGACCTCTTAAAATTTTGCTAAATGTTTACATTTTCAAAGGCTACAAAAATCCGTGTCTGTAACCTTTCCAGCGTTCTGCCAAATTTATTTGAAGAAAGCACATTTTCAAGATTACTGTGGCAGTCCAAGGAGACCGGAAATTAGACATTTCACTAGGATCCATTCGAAGAAACGAAGACTTTTCCCGTGCTTTTTGCTCTCATTCGAACGACATTTTAGGCTGATTGCCTGGCCTTTTAGAGGGGAATAACGCTGAACAGTTATACGGTAGGCTCCTTAATGAAACTCGGTTCTGTCTTCGCTGTCAGGAATATAATTTTGCATTAGACGAAAATGTCCTCTTTTCTCAGTGAGATTGAAAGGCTAAAGATCGATCACAAATTAAGTGTTGTAAATCCTCCGCTTTCCTACATAAGACAGCAAAATGTTGATCGCTTTGCTTTAGCTTTAGCTTTGGAGATTCCCTACCCTCTGTTACAACGATGGTATAGCATGGTTAACGAAAATGAAGATCAAGGTAATCCTATCGATTACTTAGACCTGTTGAACACTTGGATCCCCAACAAATGGTTTCAGATAAGCAGAGAGACAGGGTTTCGTATTCAGGGTAGAATCAGGCGCGAGGCAAGCTCAGTTATTTCCAAATACAAGAAGGCAAATGGTAGTAGAAAGAAAGAGGAACTCAATAAAAGCGTGCTCAAACTTAGCATTTTAGTCAGTGAGCTAGTGTCTGTGGGAAAAATGGAAGACGATTTGCATCAAGCTAACTCAGCATTAGTTGAGTGGCGCGAGAAATGTGCAGATCTTGAGAAAGAAAAAGAAAGTTTATTGAAGGAAATGGCAGCAGCCACAGAAAGGAAGGAGACAGAAATAAGTAGCCTTAACAGAGAACTCTGTGAATACGTCCAGAGAATTGAAGAACTAAACGAGGCTACCTCTCCAAATTATGGAAAAACAATAGCACAAGTAGGCGAAAGGCAGAGGTTGAGAAAAATAAAAGAACTAAAAGACAGAGCTGACTTAGCATTGTGGTTTCTTGAGAGTCATGGCCTACAACTAAGTTGTTTGAAAGTCAAGGAAACTAATTCAGGGAGAGCCCATACCTTTGAATATGAAACAGAGAAGGTCAGTCAGGAGGATGAAGAAAATGTAGAGCAACTTCTGTTTTTACTTGATAAATTTTGTGTCAGTGATGACATGTACCATGAACTTACTATTCTGTACAATGATTTGCCAAGGTCATATTTAATCAAACAGAAGAGATCTGACCTCAACAAACTCTCTCATATTGAGCAGGTCCCAGGCAATTATCCAGGAGCCCAGATTTCATTTGTGGACACACTCCAGGACCACATAAGGGAATATTTAAAATCTCACCCAAGCCATCCAAGGGAGGAACCTATAAAAATCAAAATTAGTGGGGATGGAGCTAAGATGTCCAGAACAACAAATTTTATGATTTTGTCATTTTCATTACTGCAGACAGGGGAGAGGGTAATGTCCTCTAAAGGGAACAGAACATTATGTCTAGTTAATGGACCAGAGAAATATGACACACTAAAATCATCGATGAAAGATGTCATCAAGGAGATAAATACTGTCATTAAAAATGGCAAGGTAGAGGTTGACGGTGAAGAAATTAACATAGAGATGTTCTTAGGAGGAGACTATAAATTTTTGTTGATGGTCATGGGCCTAAAGGGGGCTACATCTGATTATTGTTGTTTGTGGTGCAAGATTCACAAGCTTCAAAGATGGGATGTGACCAAGGGCATAGATTTTTACAACACAGGGGAAATGAAGAGGACACTTCAAGAAATTAGAGAGTTTCAAGGCTCAACCAAGTTTTGCTGCATCCACCCTCCCTTGTTCGACATTGACCTTGATCATGTCATTTTGGATGAACTTCATTTAATGATGAGAATCACTGACAGATTGACTCACTGTGTTATCACTGAGGTCATGCAGAGGGACAGCAAATCTGATTATTTGAAAAAAAAAGGAGAAGAGAGGGGGATTTATCTTAAACGACTTATTACTACAATTAACAGCATAGGAATAACCTTTTCTGAGTGGGAAAAAACCAATGCTGATGGCAAGGGAAGTAACACTTATGATTGGACAAGTCTTATCGGCTCAGATAAAAAAAAACTCCTTCAGCTACTTCCATCACAGCTTCAAGAAGAAGATATCATTTTTCCGGAAACAAAGGCGATGGTAGTAAAAATATGGAGGCACTTTGACTCCCTTTACCATTTAATCAACACTGATTTAGAAGAAAATGGAGACCTTTCCCTAGAAGTCTTTGAAAAATCAAAGGAGTTTGTTGAACTCTTTTGCTCTCTTGCTGAAAAGAGAGTTGGCTACAACAAAGCAAGAGTGACACCATACATGCATGCCCTCTGCTACCATGTCCCATGCTTTATCAAAAACTATAAATCCTTTAAGCAGTTCACTGGACAGGGTGTTGAAAAAAACAATGATGACGCAAAACGAGTTTTTTTCCAAAAGTCGAACAAATGGGATGCGGCTAGGGATGTTTTGCAGTTAGAGGCAAGACAGCAAGCCCTTCATCATTGTGAAAGAGAGAAGAGAAAATACGAAAAACAAAATAATGAATACTGGAATAGTGGGATTGTTGATTCAAGGAAGAAAAGAAAGCACTCCAGGGAAGGTGTCAGTGAATCTCAAGGTGAACCATCTGCTTCTAACACCAGTGAAGACACAAGTTCAAATTATGAAAAAATGACAATCAAAGAGCTTATACAGAACATCAAATCACAAAATTTGCAGGTCAAAGGAATATCAAAATTAAAGAAAGCAGAATTGATTGACATTTTAATGAACAGCGATTAAAATAATATTTACAGCCCATATATACTTAAGGGTCATTATGATAACAAGAAGAAACTTCTAGGGAACTTTATAAAAACAACTTTATTCAATTTTGTTTAAGCCTAAAGAACACTTTTACCAACCATTGTCAAACATTTCACTTCTATTTAAAAATGTGAGACAAGTTCACAACAAAACCATTACCTATATAAAGATGATATTTAAAAAAATACATAAACACAGCTTTATGTACTGAAATTTTTGTATTAGGTGATTGTATTCTTAGAGCAGGCTTTCCTAATAATAACCACTGAGACTTTTTCAGCGGGAATAAGTGGTCCCTTCTCAAGGGAATCAAAATTATTTACAATGAAACGTTTTGAATGAAATCCTAGCTTTGTTTTTAATTTAACAGGAAAATCAACTGACACACCTTCACCTAGTTCATCAAAGTAATAATACCAAAATGGAGGCAAACAGAACCTGGAAAAATCCTCTTTCATGTACAAATTGAAACCATCTGGGGCAATTGACCCCTTATTTTTAAAAATGTATCTGACTATGTCATGATCTATACATATGTTGGTGTTGAAACTAACACGAACTGACTTGCACTTCAAAATACCCAACACAGCTTCCACAAATGCTGCAGCTGCTGCCTCCAGTCTCCAACCTTCTATGGATGGTTCAGTATAACTTCTAAAATAAAAAGAAAACATGCTTTTTTTAAATCCTCAAACTTCAGAGAACACTATTAAATATGACTTAAATTTAGGTCATTCTACCACATTGAAAAACCTTTTAAAGTTAGTAACACTCAACAGACACAACTTTGTATGCCTATGAAGTTCAGTGATAGTATTTACAATTAGGAATCATGTACAAAAAGCATCATCTAGACAGGGAGAAGCACATCACTTGCCAATACTTTATCAGTGAAAATTTTTGTTATTCCCCTAGCAATATTTATACTCTGGTAACTTTATCATGTTTCAACAATAACTTCAGTAATCAATATATATTTAGACAAGTATAATACAACTACAAGTTAGCTTGTAGCTGCAAAAGACTTTCAACAAGTAGCCTTTTCTATTATAGTAAAAAACTCCCGCTAAGTTTATGTTGATGTATTACAATAGCATTTGTAATTTAGATACATGTCTCTCATAATTACCTCACTGCAAAGCAATTTAAATTCTCCAGTGGCTCCCAGCTACAGGTCCAAATGGGCCAATTCTTCCAGTTTATGAAATATTCAGTTCCCTATCCAGTGGAAATGAGTGGCTATAATTTAGCAACAATTTTTCAGTTTGTGGATAACAAGAAAGCAATTGTTTAATGTTCGGTTGGTGCCTCAAGTGCACGTACAGATAACTTCATGTACCTTTTTCCCCTGTCTTTTGCTGATCACTCTTTCCACCACGAACATGTTAGAATTTGAGTTTCTTTTTTTCCTTCGAGGCTCATTCAAAAGATCAGCGGTGCATAGCTCGTTCAACCATTTGTAATTTAGACGTTCACGCACTCGAGAGGCCGCCATGTTGACAACATGATTAATTGAGCATGTCAGTTACCGTTTCAGCGCAACCGCATGGCTACTAGTTCGCGGGGGCAGAATGTCGTCAATTTCTGGTAATGTTACTGTTTTGTTATATATTCTGACTTCTATAATCTGTAGTAACCTCTTGAAATAGTGCGAATAAAGAGTTTCCTTTCCTTCCTTCCTTTCCTCAGCAATGAATAAAGTTGATCGCAATTTCTCGTTAAGCTCCGAGTGTTTAAGTGTATAATAGAAAAGTTTGTTTTGTCGCCAAAACAAGCTACTCGATTGTTCAGATCTTCCTCAACCATATAGCCACTATTGGGCAGGCGAGTTATAAAATTAGAGTCGGGATTCAGATGACTACACATTGAGGATTTTTGGTCGGTTTTGGAGCCACCCCTACATTTTTGGGCTCAGCCGTATCAAGGCCCCATGGCCTTGTGGGCAAAAATTGGCCAGAACCAGGCACTTTTCTCCGGAGGCCTGGCTGCTAATCTGATGAAAGAGAAACTGCTTGGTATGTTTGAGATTATAGCCGAAGAGCAGAGCTTCAAATTGATACTAAATTTGTTCACTTTCGTAGTTAGTTTTTAAGGTTTTTGGCTCAGGGAAAGTCGTGAAAGTAATCGGGACATTTTGCTGGTTATTTTGGTGAGGTTTGAGGTCTTTACTGTCGCATGTGATGAAAATCTGAAACGATACGACTGCTATTTATGGACACAAGGACGTGACGGGAAAATTTCACGAGGATTGACAATATTTTCACGATTTTAAACCAAGATGTCAAAGCGCACGAGAAGTCAAGAGAGGTTTCAATAGGAGAGTGGGCTCGTAAAGCGAAGTATAAGCGCATCGAAGCTGTTGAAGTGAGCAAAAGCCTTGAGAACATTGAGCGGGAGATTTCAAGTTCTTAGGAGACCACAAAACTTCTAAAGGAAAAGAATGTTCAGCTGCAGGGTGAAATAAAAGAACTCAGGAGAAAGGCAAGCCACTTAAAGGGATACTGTTTTTCAGTTGAATGCAGTGAGTGCATTAGATAGCGCTATTTAAGCAATAGCGAAAATCAGACCTGTACGGGATTCGCTATCGACTGCGAGGATCGTGCATCATACGTATCTTAATACCGCAGTTCAAAATATATGAACTTCATATATTTCATTGTATCTGATGTATCACTTTCACGGGTTTATTACGAATCAACTTAACGGCCTGCTCCCAATTGGCTTGTTAGCTCAATTGGTAAGAGCGCTGCACTAGTATCGCAGAGGTCAGTGGTTCGAATCCCGTACAGGCCTGATTTTTTTCAGGTCTGATTTTCGCTATTGCTTGAAAAGCGCTATCTACTGCGAGGATCGTGCATCATACGTATCTAATACCGCAGTTCAAAATATATGAACTTCATATATTTCATTGTACCTGATGTATCACTTTTACGGGTTTACTACGAATCAACTTAACGGCCTGCTCCCAGTTGGCTTGTTAGCTCAATTGGTAAGAGCGCTGCACTAGTATCGCAGAGGTCATTCGTTCGAATCCTGTACAGGCCTGATTTTTTTCAGGTCTGATTTTCGCTATTGCTTAAATAGCGCTATCTACTGAGAGGATCGTGCATCATACGTATCTAATACCGCAGTTCAAAATATATGAACTTCATATATTTCATTGTATCTACTATAACAATTATTTAAGGAGAGTAAACTGTGAGGTTTTACTTCAACTGTGCTCATTTGTGTCAGCTTTATAATTAATTATAAATTAAGAGTGCCTGTCGGTAAAAATCAGACAAATTCTTAATTTCGCGACAAGGGTGAAAAATTCGATTTCGCTCATATTCTTATGGTAGATGGGCTAGGGCATGACAAAAACTACGGGATAGTCTTTTAAGGCAAAATATCCTTTTATTTCAAAGAAATATGCAAATTACCAAATTCCGTTAAAATCGTCATTTGACGCGCCATTTTATTAAACAAGTTTGAGAGCCTCGCATGCAAAACCACATTATTCTTCCGTCTTTAAAACACTCAAATACATATTTTTTTCAATGTTTAAATGTAGACTGGGTTGGTTTGGGGAAATGCTGCGTTATTTTTTGGAAGTAAAATAATTAAATTTCGAAGACTTGTATTTCATTCACTTAAATGTACTTCGAAAAAATAATTGGTTTTCATCATGTGCGAAACCTTCAAATGGATTAAGCTTCTTGTGGTTGGATCGCCGAAGGATGGTCTACAGATTCCTGTAAAAATTTCTTTGGGCAAATGATTGTGAGCGAAGGGAGAGCTTTTCAAAGTACGTTAAAAATGCAAATATTTGCCATTGGCGTTAACTTTCAATTGACGGGTTAATTGGACATTTATTTTAGCGTGCGCCACATGCCTTGACGTATATAAAGCTGAAATAGTCACAGAGCTGATAATTTCGAAATGTTCTTACTTATTTGCTGCAAAAGGCAGGTCCAAACTCCGATTTAACGTATTTCTCACACCATTCGTCGCATATAAACGTTTGCTTCTGTCTACACAAGGTCTGGTGAACATCACCAACTGTCATCGTATTCAGTAATACAATGAATCTTTGACCATCCTCGGCGCATATGATTGCCACTGCATCTAAGTTTACAACGACTAAGCCATTTGTGGATAGTTGCTTGCCTTGCGCTGCACCAAAATGCTATCACATTAGAACGATTGCTGCTCAGTGAATCCTGGAATGCAGCGCGGTTTATTATTTGTTCGTCACGCAATGCGGTCGTCCCATTTTAGGGGGTAGGGGTAGGGCGATGTCTATCCTGATATGCAACCACTTGGAGTACACAATCTTGCTGAGTAGGAAGAGAGCAAATAAAGTAAAAGGAAGAAAGACAACTTTAACTTTGTCTCCTGAGTTGTGTCCTGTTGTCATCCCTTACGCGGACCTTGACAGCAACCAAAACAACATCTGTCGAACAACCACAGCAAAAACCTACAACCAACAAAGCCAACAAACAACCATACCAAGAATCAACCAACCAAGCCACCAAGCAGCCACAAAAAACAACAAGCCAACAACAACCAACCAACAACCTATCAATCAATCCCACACTCCTGCAGTAATTGTGGTAGATGACAACTCTACTGATACAAAGTCATGGGTTCACATCCAGGCCCCACATATCCCTAAATCCACCTTCACTCTTTATGAGGATGCCAGATGTCACATTCTGAAGAAAACAAACTGGTTATGTGACTCCGAGATTCATGCAGGCCAGCCACTTTAAAAAAAGCAAAATTTCCTTTTGTGGATGGTGTGCATGACCCAGCTATTGCTGGTACTCTGGTGGCCCCAGCAACTGGTGAGTATGTACAAATAATTAACACTGGTAATCATTGGGTATGCCTCAGTACCATTTCTTGGAGGCCTGGAACCATTAAGGTATATGACAGCTTGTTTCAAAGAGTTAGCCCAATTGCCATTGGCCATTCTTGTCGCTTGCTCATGCCTACTGGGGGTTCTGCATTGTTTACGAATGAAAATGTTCAAAAGCAAATGAACTCAAGTGACTGTGGCTTGTTTGCACTAGCATTTGCAACAGATTTGTGCCATAGCATGGACACGGTAACACAATCATACAACCAAGAAAAGATGCGTGCACATTATGTTGACTGCCTTGACTCACTTGAGATAGTTCCCTTTCCAAAAATAATAAGGCGAGTACCATACCATCCACATAACAGCAAAACAACAGTGGATATCTTCTGTGTTTGTAGATTGCCAAATGATAACCCAAAAACAATAAGGCGAGTACCATACCATCCACATAACAGCAAAACAACAGTAGATATCTTCTGTGTTTGTAGATTGCCAAATGATGACCAGGAGTATGTTCAGTGTCATGGCTGGTATCATCCAACCTGTGTGGACATTCCTAACTGGGTGATAAATAGCAAGAGGAGTCTTCTTTGACAACTATAGCACTTACAATGAACGTGTCTATATGATAATGCTGGACAGCTACAAGACACGACATCTTCTCTTGACCACCACTCTTCTGTACTAGCTGCCATTTTGTGAGTAATGATGTTTTTGGGCTTCAGGGATCACTGCGTTTTTATTTATTTTTCTTGATCAAGCAGAAAAGATCTATCCTGAACAATTTTTGCTTTGCTCCATTGTTCCCGTTTAACCCAAATAAAAGCACTCATTACTCGGAGATCCCGCTACGTGAAAGAGAAGACTGACAGTACGTTCCCCCTCAGTCTATCCACCTGAAGTGTGAAAGCAAACCAATCAGAGCCCAAGTTGAGACATCACTGAAAGCCACTAAAGCCTTTCAAATGTTTTTCTTCCAGAGCGCGTGAAAAAGGACTAATAAGAACCCGAGTTCAGCTGTCACTCAGAGACAAAGTCCATCAAAATGGTGGTATTTGCACACTTTTCGCACAGTTTATCATTTTCTACTCAGGAACAATAAAGTTGACTTGATAATGTGCAAACAAATCGCTAATCAACACTATGTCAGTATCCCTGACCGAGGAACGAACAAAATGAAATCCTCGCAAAAATAAGTTCTCTGATTGGCGAAGAAGCTGCTAATGCCTTTGAATGTAAGTTACTATACTTACATTTTGTGTCACTAGAATTTAACTTGACTTTTAATTTCTCTCTTCGCTTACATGCAGGTGAAGAAATAACTTCTTTCAATGTGCTAAAAGATCTGATATCTAGGGAGGCAGACGCTCCCATTTTTGAAAGGCTTGGCCTAAGCTATGAAAAAGCAATTAAAGTACAAAACGAATTCGCCTACCTTCGAGGAAGGACTGATCAAACGAACAAGACTACTACTCCATCGCCAAAGCCATCTTTGACAGATCTTTCCTATGCTGATTCAGCAACTAAGCAGCTTTACCTTGCAAGGTATGTAATGTTGAAACACCATTTCTCTTTGAATTGCACAGTGCGAAAGTCACATTTAATTCAGCATGCTTATTGAAATGACACGCCATCTTGTCTCGCTCCTCTCGCCATTTTCTCTTCGTTGTTCACGGCGCCTTAGTAAATACGAAAAATGTTTTTTATTCCAAACATATTTGTCTTAAAGCTCGTTTA